ATGAAGACTGTATTATTGCATCCTCATACCAATTCTTTGATAGCTGCTATTATTATGTCCACTTGGAAGCAGACATGGATCCTCTGATTCTATAGGTCCTACTCTTATCCAAAAGATGGCATGGCCTCCTAGGGAGGAAAAGGGACTTTCCCAAAGTCCTACAAAATTAAGGGACACTGAATTAAAATTCCTGCTTTCCTGTATGCTTGTCCCAGAGGGCTCCTCTGGTCCTGCTTTCTTTCCCACCCTGGAGACACTAATGCATTCTGAAGGCCAAGTCTGTTTTGCTGCTGACAGATGGGAGTATGAGGGACAGATCTGAAGAACATGAAGGACAGAAACATCAACAAAGATGGCATCAGGCCAATTCAGTCCCTTCAGGTCAGTGACAGCTGGTAGGAGTGGATACTACCTGACCCAGAGGAGTATACTTCTCCCTGGATTTAGAACAATTTCAGTACACATTATGGTTCCCAATGATTTTACCCCAGTGGAAGAAAGTGCAGGCCTGGGTCATATGAGGAGGAAACAGATCATGGTGATAGGGTTGGCTTTGGAATCATACAGATGTGGGTTTGAATTCCCAACCCTGCCACTCACTGGATGTATGATCTTGCAAGAATCATTTCACCTGAGTCTCAGTTTTCCCATCTTGAAAATGGGAACAGTGCCTCTTCCTTGGAACACTGTTGAGAGGAGAAAGGCAATGCATGGACAGTACTTGACCTGGTGCCTGGCCCCATAATAATAAATGCTCAATAACTGGTAACAGACTTGTCATTATTATCATTATAATGATTATTATCTTTCAAGGTTGAGACTGTCTGAATTTATGAGTAAGAAAACTTATTTAGTTTTAGGTGATGAATGAATATTTCTTTCTTTTTTAAATTTCTAACGGGATTGATTTAAAAAAAGCAATCTGAAAATTTCTGGGACAGGGAAATTGGGATCTTCTAAGCACTGGGCTGGGGAGAGCTTACCTTAAATGGGAAGGTATTATTATTAACTGTCTCCAACACGCCTTTAAAAATAGTCCCCAGTCAGGTGCCTGGCTGGCTCAGTCAGTAGACTCTTGATCTCGGGGCTGTAGTTTCAAGCCCTATGGTTGGGTATAGAGATTACTTAAAAAATAAAATCTTAAAAAAAAAAATAGTCCCCAGACTAGTCTGATAAGAGGTTCCTGAACCTCAGACATCCGCCTTTGTCCTCGGGGAGGGATGAAGACCTAGGGGTATCACTGCTACTACCCCAGTGTGTGACTGACCTCATTCCAGGGAGCTGTAAGGACATTTAACATATTGGCTACAAAGAGTATGTATACAACATAGTATGTGGTCAAGAGCTTGCGGGTGAATCAGAAAGATCTTGGCTCAAGCAGCTCTGTCACTGACTTGCTGTGTTACTTTGTACAAGCATAATCTCTCTGAGCCTAGCCTCAGTTTCTTCTTCTGGGAGTGGAGAATCATAAAAATACTATTTCATAGGATTGTCATAGGATGCACTGAAATAATAATTATGATAACAAAAGCTAACTCCTGAGTGTTTACTAGGAGCTCATTAATGCCTTTTAATCTATTATTTTACTTCTCATAATAGCCAATGATAGAGAGAGAGATAATAATACTATTATTATCCCTACTTTGAGGATGAAAAAAATCAAAGCATGGAAGGAAAAGAAAGTATCTCTTGAGTCTTTCTAATCCATGGGTGGTTTACCTAGACCCACAGACCCTCAAGGGGATCCATGGGTAGAATTCAGTGGGTTTGGGAACTTGGATGGTAAAAAAAAAAAAAAAAAAAAAAAAAATCTTTATTTTCACTAGCCTCTAACTGAAATGTTGTATGTCCCTCAGTTTTAAACATAGGCAAAAATCCATCACGATATTAGCACTAACCTGGGACTAGGTCACCAACAGAATCATGGATATTGTCACATCAACGTGCACTTGTAACAGGTAGCTCAATGAATTGTTTGTACTCATCACTACATTGACACCTGTCATTAGATCTTGTTATTTAATGCAATAGCTAAAAATCGCATATACTGTATCACCAATGTAGGTCTTTAAAATATTTTCATAACTGGATTTCAAGATCATAGGTTTATTTTGTAATCCTATGTATTTTATTTTATGCATTTAAAATCACTATTCTGAGAAAGGATCCATAGGTTTCCCCAGACTGCCAAAGGAATCCACAGCACACAAAAAAAGTTAAGAACTGTCACAGTAAGTCCATAGCTGTTAAAGCGATGGGAAGCCCTAAATGTAAAGCGAGGTACCTAGCAAGTGCTCATGGCTCATAGAAGCCACCACAATAATTATTATTGTACTCAGCAAAATCCTGCTCATCCAGGTACAAACTTAGGGTATGGTGATAAAGGACTCAATCCTGTTCACTGTACCAAACACCACAGTGATGAGTAGGGAAAACACCCCATCAAGTGAGAGAGTAGGAGTAGAGATTTTTCTATCCCAACCTCCTCCTTCTTGGGATGAAGAGAGTCTCAAAGAGCACTAGTTTCAGACCTGAGGACACATTGCAAATTAGCATGAGAATCAATACCAGCAACCTGTTCTGGAGTCAGTCCTCAGTCCTAGGACACAGCCTTCCAACACTGGACATGAAGTCAAAGGGTGAGGGTCCCTCTCTTTGGAAGCACGCATCTCCATCCCATTTCCTTCTGCACTGGGGGCCTCCGAATGAGCCCACAGATGTTAGATGATCAGCAATGTAATATGGCGCAACACTCTTCAGGTCCAGGAGCCACTGGGGTGTGATGATAGTGCATCTGTCACCAACACTGAATCCCGGGCCCCCATTCAGACCTACTTCATCGTGGTTGGGGGAGCCTGGGAATCCACATTTTTATCAAGTTTCCCTACTGACTCACTTGCTCATCCAAGTGAGAACTACTCTACAGTAGTCGAAGGATGAATTGTGGAATTCAAATGCCAGTTCCACTGCTTAATAGCTAAATCACTTTGGGCAAAATTACTCAAATTTTACAGAGATCGCTTACCTCCAAAGCCAACAGTGCCTACCTTACACTGTTGTGAGGATCTAATGTGACAATGCACGCCAAGTCCTCAACAGTGTTTGGCAACATAACGGGAGTTCTACAAACACATTTTACGTGATTGTTGTTGTTTTTGAGTTGTGACCAAATGACTTCACTAGTGGGAGAATCTGTCATTTCCTCCCACAGAGGCATGATTCTCTGTCCTACCCCTGTTTCCATGGGGCTGTGATGTATGCTGTTAGTGACTCCATCTCCAAAGAGTTCCTAAGTACTGGAGGAGCATCCTCTGCCATCAGACTTCTCTGATAACCACAACTATGCCCCAGAGAGAAAGAGAAAGAAAGAGCCCATGAGATCTACTCTGGGAGACACCAAGGGACCCTGTGACCAATGAAGGATCACCACATCCCAAGGCAAGGACCCTGACTCAGATTGCAGATTGTGGTCCAGTATTCTCTCTGCTTGAGATAGACAACTCTTCTAAGTGGCCAGAAACAAGGAGCTTTGCTTCAGGAGACCCTGGAGCTCTGGCTTTGAGCATGCCCTGTGAATTCCTGCCTCTTCCCTTGGGTCTTGCTCCAGTGGCTGACCTCCAATTACCAGGGCATCTCTGCACCTGGCCCTTTCTCCACGCCTTAGAAATCCCTCTGCCCTCACACATGAGAGCCTGGGAGTGTCTGATCATTAACTGTCCCAGAAAGCAATGCTCAAATGGTGTCTGATGGGAGTTGGTGTGTGAAAAGCCCAGCTCCACCTGCATTTGGCTGGGATGATTCCGAGTATGTGTTCTACACCCTCCCCACCCACCCCTGCAGCCTTAAATTCCAGTCACTCATAGTGGTAGCTGGCATGAGAAGGTATCCTCCTCTATGGCTGTTTCCCTTTCCTGTCTCCCCTTCCCACCCCCTACTGGGGTCCCTTCCACCTCTCAGATCGACTTTGCTCAGAGCCCCTTTCTGATGAGACCATGTTAAGGCAGGTTTCTACCTGAAAATTTCAAACTGAAATAATGCGAACAGAAGCCAGGCAGGAAATAAACTTTAACAAATAGGGGAAGAATCCAGTCTCTTGTGTTTTTTACAACCCTAGGCACTGATAAAAACAAAAGTGCAAATTTCAGCAAGATTCTTGACCAGTGCAGATAAATTTAGTTATGAATTTAGAGGGGACCTAGCAACGGCATTATTTTTTTAAAGGCAGGAAGTGAACCTAAGAGACACAGACTTCTACCAAAAAGGCTTCAAACAAAAAACAAAATTTTCTCCTGGAAAATTTGTATAGGTTGCTATTAAGTTAAAATGTCCTCTACCTGTAACAATTTCCCATGCATCCTGAGTATGTATTAAAGATTTAGCTCTCTGTACTGATAGTGGTGGTCCCTGGTGGAAGCTCAGATTAAGATGTGGGACCCTGGGAAGTGTTAAAATCAAACACAAACGGAGACCAGCCTTGAGAATTCCCTGAGCAGACAGAACCAGTTTAGTCATACAAGCAAAGCTTAATTTAGCTTATTTTGCAAGACAATCAAGGCTCACTTGACCTGGGTCACTTCTTGCTGACACCTCTGAAAATCACAAGCCAAACTTATCGTTCCCCAAAACTGATACGGGGTCACCACCAACCAGTTCCCTTTCATTTAAGAAAATTCTCATATGGCAACCCATCACCTCGAAGAACCAACAGTCGCTGCTTGTGTGCGATCTAAGCTGCTTTTACAACCATGTACCTCTGAGCCTCATTCCACATTTTCGGTTGAGTGCTCCCGGTCGGCAAACTGTCTTCTTTGTGTGTGCACAATAAACTGTTACTAATTAACCACTTCGGTGATTCATTGGTTTTACTTCCATTTTGTTGTTACTGTTGTTTTGTTTCCTGAACTTTGGACAAAAGATAAATGACAACCCCAACAGCATCACATATAATCAGTTTTATTGCCAGGTAAGAAATTCATATTAATATAGTGAATACATGTTTACAAATAAACATTTTTAGAAAACAAACGTCTTTTTTTTCTTCATTGTAGGAAGTATTATTGGTATCATAAACTCTGCAATTGTTGACAAGTATTAACACAGGTTTACTTGCAGAACATACGGTTACTAAAATATTCGCACATAAAATATGCTCCATTTACACGGAAAACTGGGGAGGTGGGAGGAGTGAGATGGGGTGCCAGGCAGAGCCCAAGGCGGATGGAGGCTGAGATGCTCTGGGAGGGTGAAGGGAAGTCAGACTCTGGTCCCATTGGGTTGGAAGTCGGGGATAGCTAAAGGCAAGAAGTAGAGGCTAGTGCCAGGGCCCGGGAGGGGGAGGAACTTCCTCTCTACTTTGTTCGGGTTTCTCTCTTCTAAGCTCCTCACTGTAGCCACAAGATTCTTGTCGATACGTGGCAGCCACAGATCCATCAGTATTCCAACCACCCTCCCTATCCAACCCCTACCACCCTGGTCCCAGTTTGCAAAGCCAACTAGAAGATAATGAGACAGAAAAGGAATGTTCTAGGCCATCATCCTGCCTCATCATACTGACCACGCCGCAACCTTCCTGCCCAAACTGTCCCCCGCCGCCCCAACTAACGAAACTCACTGGATGAAGTTTACTCAGAAGAGAAGGAACACGGAGGGGGAAAAAATTCTGTAGATTCAGAGATCAAGAAAGCTCCTTCATCAGCGTTGGGATAAAAGGTCAGATGAAGTAAACTGAGGACAAGGGGCAAGATGAGCTAAAAGGGAAACAAGACTCACAGACCTTTGGAGCTGAAGGGAACCTCACGGAGAAGCAGACCCAGTATTTCCTGAAATAGGCGCTGTGCATCACTAGCAAATGCAAAATGATTTGTAGTAGCACGTGGATATAGCACTGGTTAACACCGAGTCACAGAGGGGAGTGGGTTCCTTTTCATTTTGTCCGTCCGATGGAGTCCCTTGGAGTGCAAAGTCTCCACTGGGTGCTGGTATATCTTTAACAGCTCTTTAGCATCTGCCAATCATTTTAATAAAGGAAAAGGGAGAGAGGGGAATGACAGAAGGGAAGCGGGGAAGAGAGAGAGAGAGAGAGCAAGTGCAATCTAGCAAATGCAGGGCTCTAAGTTCAGACCCTTCCACAAGCAACAGTATCTAGCTAGAACAATTGCTGCTTTGCTGCCTTCATCCTTATCTTTACACTTACTTTCTATTTAGGGTGACTGATTGATACTGCTTTTCTATTTGTAATGACGAAAAGAAGTTTTCCTTCTAAAAGTTCAAAGTATTAAGAGTGAATTGATTTAGCTACGAATATTTTGATGGTGATACACGGAGATGCCAAAAGCAGGTTGCAGTACAGGGATAATTTAACATCACGGAAACATTGACCGAGCTGGGCGGTGTTTACCCCACTCCGGGGAGTGCTGGGATCCCAGCAAAGAGGCTGAGAAAATGGGCACTCTATCTCCGCCCTGGCCCCCCACCAACCCTGCTTTGTCCAGCGCAGAGCCACCTTATAAACGAGGATCTTCTATTGGTGCCTTCTGTGCACAGGGGCATTTTTAAAAATGGGCGGAGGTGTTGCTCGATCTAGCCCCAATTCCCTTCGTTTCAGATGGGAGACTAAGGCCCAGAGAGATAACAGGCATTGTCAATGTTCCCCAGAGGGGCCAGGAATGAAAAGGAGAATAAGCCCCTGATTTCCCGGCTTCCATGATGTTGGAGGTGAGAGACAGCTGAGGCAGAACGCTGCCCTTGGGCATCCCAGGGAATGCTCTGGATCTTCTTGGACCACCACGTGCAGCTTCTGACACCAGAAGAACACTGGGTCTCTCAGAGATTCCCGTGCATTGGCGAAGGCGGTTAGGGACTGGTTGAAAGCCTCTCACCTAAAATCAAAATCTCTTCTCTCTGCACTCTCCTCTTTGGGCTTCCACGAAATAAATAGGAGGAGCAGGGAAACAGTCTTCATCGGGATGCCCAAGGGCCACTGGCTGTGAGAACCACTCTGAATTGGTTCAGATTGGGAATTCTGGGTGGGAGATGAATCCGTCGAAGTATCTGGGGAGGTGGCTTGGAGGGTCGTGGGAATTACGAGACCCAGAGGTCTCGGGGAGCCAGATAACAGTAGGACTGGGAGTGACAGGGTGGGAAGTAGGGAGGTCTTCGTCTTTAGGTACCCCTGACATTGTAGCAGCCCCCTCAGAATGTGTGATGGGCGGGCTCACCAACAAAGGGGGAGGAGAGGAACATCTCTGACTTCAGGAAACAGGACGGAGGGTGACCAAGAGAACACACGTTGCACTTGGGAAACAAGACTGTCATTAAACAGTAACACATTGAAGGCACCACCCACGCTTATGACATTTTCAGTCCAAAGCAGTTGAAATTTGGCAGCGGCGGCGGCAACGGGCTGAGGGGGGTCAGGGAGAGACGGGTAATAGAGGACTGGTTTCTGTGTCTGTTTCTTGTCTCGGAGGCAAGGCGGGAAATGCGGGGTCCCCTTCTCATCTCTTGTCGACTTTTCAACTGTGAATATTTTTTCTTTTGTTCTGATGTCATTGTTCATTTCCTAAGTCTTGAGGATTCTGGACAAAAATGGATTTGCTGTTTTTGTCTGTTTTGTAGTGGGCTTGTGATCATTTATCTTTTTTTTTTTAAAGAAAAAAAGTTATTTAACACTCTCTGGACCCTCTCTCCCTGCCGTAAAAGCCTACTTATCCTTTCCCATGTCCATGATCATGGTCTTTACGGGACTTCTCTAAAATGCTCTTTCTTTCTCATCACTGCTGGTGGGTTCAGGGTCTATTTATTTTTTGTGAGTTTGAGTGTGTGTTGTTTTTTTTTTTTTTTTTGCTTCCAACATTGACGATATGAAAAGTACTATAAATAGAATGGTTGGGGTCCAACTACTGTCTCACGCTTGTCAAAATTGTGTGTCCACGTCACTACTTCTTGGGATTAGAAAACACTTACAATGCACACAGCTTCCTACCCAAATGACTCCTCTTCTTACGTACACTCTTCTCTCGTGTCCACTCTCAGGCTCCCCCGGCCCCAACCTGGCTCTTTCACCCCGAAACAGACAGCACATGGTAAATGGCAAATGTGCTCAAGTGGACGATTTCTCTAAGTTGTGCTACTTTTAATTTTTCGTCATGGATTTCAGTTTTAAGTCAGGAGGAAAAGAAAAAATCAGCCCCATGGTGTGGGCGTGTGAGTTGGCCACCTTGGGCCTGAAGTTGAAAGAGCCGTGCCTCAGTTTCCCCTTTGCTGTATTGCTGAACGTCCCTGCTTCCGTCTTGCTCAGCTGCTCGCTGACACGTGTTAGGCATGACCCAAGAAAAGCGTAGTTCCGCGTCACCAGCAGGTTTCTCGTCGGTTGGTAAGGGGAGTCAGGGTGTGGGGGAGCAGGTCGGGGAGGACAGGGAGGGTGTGGGCCAGGGATATTTTTTGCCTCTCTCAGTTGAGTATGGTCTCCAGGATGCTCCCTGTAGTGAAAGCTCAGACAGTCACTTCTGTTTTGCTGTTGGTGATGAAGTATGGCTGTGGGGGTGGGTAGTGCTGGGTGCGAGTCCCCAAGGGGTCGCTGGAGCCCGACTCAGCTGCGCCAAGCTTGCCCTTGTTACCGTAAGCCTGCCGCCGGAGGGAATGCTCGTTGGGGTCCCAGCCCTTGAAGTTGGTGGTGGAGTTGTAGGCCAGGGGATGTGGGGGCATCTTGTTGGTGCGGGACTTCTGTCCATTCTGCTTGGCAGGGCCATGCTCGGGGCTGAAGGCCCGCGGCTCATCCTCTACTCTTACCGGGTGCAAAGGGAGGTTCCCCTTGGCCGCCAGCTCGGCCAGGTGCCGTCGCTTGGAGGAGAAGTCATCATTGACCTTGTCGGCTGTCCAAGGTGGACGGAGAAGAGGAGGAGGGAGCAGAGAGAGGGAGAGAGAGGAGAGAGAGAGACAGTTAGGGATTGGCAAGTCAACCTGAGCACAGTATCAAAGTGGGCCAACAGTCCAAACGAGACACACACTAGAAACTCCATCTGGAACAGACAGAAGGAAGGAGGACAGAAGGAAAGAGAGTCAAGTTCTTTTCACAAGCAAGATCAGGACCAAGAAGGTAAGGGCATCCCCAGTGGAAACTCTAGATTCCCCCCAAATACACACTTCTCCACCATAAGGCACCTAGCTTTGTACATCCTTGGCTTTCTTACAAAATCCCAGTGTTGTTTCTTCATTATTAAAATCATGCATTCTCATTAGGGAGAAATAGTGAACATCTTGAGAAATATTCGTATTTGTCCCCCCACCATTCAAGACCGTCAATATCAATACTTAGCTGTATTTGCTTCTCGTTTTCTCAATAAATGGGGTTCAACTTGGGATTTCTATTAGTGTGTTTGGTTGCTTTTAGCAATTAAGCAGACCTGTGTTCAAACCCCAACTCTGCCACCTCCCAGAAGTGTAGCTTTGGCTAAGAAGTTAAGAAGCTTCTTAGTTTTTATTATGATTGATTTCTGCATAGGGAGAGTAGTTACATTAAAATATATATATTTTTCCCCCACAGGGTTGAAAGGGTTAAATGATATGATATGTGTATTTAGATATGAGCCCCTATCACTGTCATTATAAATCAGTTTAATTTCCATATAACATTCTATCAAGCATGTCTCCATGTTGTTATAAATCATATAAAACAAATATAAAAACAACATGTCTCCATGTTGTTATAAATCACTAATAAACAACATTTTAATGCCTACATAATATTTCATTGGGTGGAACTATTAAAATTAATCACTCCTCCCATCAATGAACAGTTAAGTTTGCCAATATGCTGTTGACATAAATAAAGCTGAAAAGAGAATCTTCAAGACTAAAGCTCTTCTTGTATTCAGCATTTTGAATTTAGGATAACCGCAGATGTATTTTTCATCTACATCAGACGACGGCAAACTATAGCCCCTGGACCAAATCTGGATGCTGCCTATTTTTGTAAATAAAATTTTACTAGAACACAGCCATACCCACTCGCTTACCTACTGTCTGTGACTGCTTTTGTTCTGCGGTGGTGGATCCAGGTACATATTCTAGAGACCGAGGGGCCCACAAAGCTTGAAGTCTTTACTAGCCAGCCTGGAAATGAATTACCTAAAGTGGAATTACTTGGCCAAAGGGTATAAACATTATCAAGGTTCTTGATACATATTTCCAACTCCACCACAAAAGAATCACACCAATCTGTATACCATTTCACCACACCATCTCCAGCACTATGATTCCTGGATTCCTTCCTTCCTTCCTTCCTTTCTGATCCTGGCTCCCTCCGTCCCTCTTCCTTCCCTCCCTCCCTCCTTCCTTAGTCTTTCTTTCCCTATATATTCATTTGATAATTTTATGAGACTTTTATTTTATTTTCTTATAATTCTTTTATTATAAGGTCCTCTACAGTTTTAAATTTTATTTCTTAGTGGGATGCCTGGCTGGCTCAGTCAGTAGAGCATGCGACTCTTGATCTCAGGGTCATGAGTTTGAGCCCCACATTGGGTGTATAGATTACTTAAAATAAGTAAGATTGATAAAATAAAATTTATTTCTTAGCAGTAAACCTTTGAACTTACATCTCCTCTTGGAGAGGAGGAATATTTGCTGCTTTTTCATCCATGCTTCCAACATCCCACATTGTTACACACGTAAATTTATCTTATATGTACATTCATGGAAGGCATCATAGTGCCATGTTTCTTTTCCCATTTGATCCTTTCAACAACCCTAGTAAGTAGGAAGGATGGGGATTTTAACCCCTGTTTGATAGATTAGGAAACTATCAAGCTCAGGCATACGAAATGATTTAACAAAAGTTACCCACAGCTAGTGGCTGAGCCAGGGTAGAACCTAAGTCCAATAGATATTATTTGATGCTTTTCAAAGGCCATAGAGGGAATGCTTCAGTTTCAGAATCAAGGGCACAAAAATATGCCCCACTTGCCCCCTCTGTGTCCATGGCAGACATCACTCATTGATCACAGTGCTCTGTCCTGGAAGGTGTGACCTCCGCTCAGACTCCTCAACACAACACCCCAGGAAGCCACACATTAACCTCCCAGGCTTAATACCGGTTAAGTTGGGTTTCTGTCCCTGTTAACGTAAATAGCCCTGGCTCATGTGATCTTTCAAAAGAAAGTCCCCTTTTCCATAAATTCTAGAGCCGTCTGAAAATATCGAATGTCAAAAGGAATCTGCTACTAAAGATGCGAAGAGCACACATTCCCAAAATACCATGCATTGCTTAAAGTGACATGAGTTAAATTCAAGTCAATGTTAGATCCCCATCCTTCTGCCTTCCAGAAGAAAGTTCTAGGTTTCCAATGCCATGACGTTTCAACAGAAGGATGCCCTGATATTCCCTCTTGGATTTAGGGGGAAAACATGAATCCAGTTACATCCAGGACAGATTCACTGGCATCTCCCACTCCAGGTGGCCAAGACTGAACCCATCAACATTACAAAGATATGTTCTCCTTCAGGTCCTTCCTTATCTCTCAAAGTCAAACACCAGCTTTCTAGTCACTGAAACCAGAAATATGGTGGCATTCGCCGACTCATCCTCTCCTTCTCCCCTCTAGCACAACTGCTAAATCACCAAGTCCTTCCAGCTATGCCTACAAACGTTTCTCTAATCTATTCCGCATCACACCCAACTTCGACCATTGCTCCATTTCAGCCACAAAATTGCCTCCCTGCCTCGAGTCTCCCCTCCATCTAGTCCATTCTCTACACTGCAGCCAAAGGCATGTTCTAAAATGCAAAACTTACCATGTCCCTCATCTACCAAAACCTCCTCAAGCAATTTGCTCATTCAGTCATTCATCATAGAGGCATGGGCCATGTGTTAGGCAGTGGAAATATAAGAAGGAATCGGAAACAGACATGGTCCCTGCCCTCATGGGGTGCACATCTATTAGGCGGGGAAAGATAGTGACCAAATAATCCCAAAGATTACATAAGAGTATAAATATGGTAAGTGCTATGAAGAACTATCCAGTCTTATGAATATTTATACTAAGATCTCTAAGCTGGTCTGAGAACCAGATGTTGGGAGCTCTGAAGGCATGAACCTTATCTTTCCATCTGTGGGGCTCTCAATCGTGGCAGTACTTGGGAATCACATGGGGGAGCTTCGAAAGCATTCAGATTCCTGGATCCCTCCCCCAAACAATTCAATTAGAATCTCTGCAGGTCTGGCCCAGACATAGATTTTTTTTTAAGCACTCCTCCATCCAAGGGATTCTAATGTGCAACCAGAGTGGAGACCACAAGCAAAGCCTGGCTAGATGCCAGCACATAGCTTTTTCTGGAGAACTAAAGGTAAGTGACCTCCGATTTCAATCCTATTCTCTCCTGCTGTCTCCCACCACCTTCCCCTCTAGGACCTCGAACAAGGTCACATCCCACCATGATAGGCTCTTCTCCATGGCACACATCATAGATGCCATTTTGTACATGTTAATGCACTTCATTCATTACTCGCTCTCTCTCTCACTGCTGTTCCAACAGGGCAAGGCCAGGTCAGATTCCTGCCCATCACTGTGCACACAATGTTCAGCCTACTTCCTGGCAGATAGTAGATATTCAATAAATATCCAGTGAGTGGATGTAAGAGCAAAATATCATGAATACACATAGAATATCAGGGCAATTGTAGGAGTAGAAGCTCCCTTCTCCTGTTCCTCCTGGGAGTCTGTTATAAAAGTCTCACTCATCCTCATTATGTCCCCAGTCATGATCTAGAATCATTCATTCCCATGTTCCTCTTTCCAGAAAACTGACTAGCCTAAGGTATGCTCAGAGAAAAGGATATGTTCAAGGTTTCCTCTGTCTTAACAAACTGAGAAAACTGATTACAAAGTAGGTGTTCCAACAGCTGGGATAAGTGATGTTTTCTCAAAAAGTTCTAAAGAAAAGAAGTCACAGAGGCATTCAATTCTTGCCAAATCAGTGCAGAGATGGGGAGAAGCCTCCATTAAGAGGAGTCATGAGGTCCCACATGGAGAATCTACAACCCTCTCCACAACCAACTCTGACTTGGTCTCTTAGTGAGCTTGGCACTGGGGACCCCCTGATCATAGAAAGTGTTTGGTACCTGAGGCAAGAGTAGGGTGGGCAGAAAACTCTGGGGGCTCTGGAATCAGCCAGACCTGAGTTTCTGAGATCTCAGGAATGTCACTTAACCTCTTACAGCTTTATTTCCTTTGGTGTGAAATGGGGATAACACAAGCTGCTTTCAGGTTTGTTGTGAGGAATAAATTTTATGAGATATATAAGCTACATAGCACAATTCTGGGATGCAGTAACTATTCAATACATATATTTTGTCTGTCTCTTGGCTTATGAAAGAACTGGATTAAATCCAACAGACATTTATTGAGCACTCACTCTGTGCCAGGCAACTTGCTAAGCACAAAGGAAGCATTCATCCAAGCCAACAATCCTTCTTTCCTTTCTTCCTTCCCCTTCCACTTCCCTGTACCTACCATGTGTGTTGGCCTCATTTGCCCTATGAAGTGGCCTAAGAAGGGGACTTGATCTTTTTGGGATAATGAGGGATGGCACCCTTGGGGATGTGCCTTTAGCTGCCATCTGGAGGTAAGAGTAACAGAAGCAGGATTCCAGGTGAGCGAACACGTGGTATACAGCAAAAATGACCACAGTACTTCCTTCCATCAAGTGGAGGAATATCTTTCCTTACCCTTCGAATATGGCCAGGCCTTCTGACTGGCTTTGACCAGTAGATTGTAGCAGAAGTGATGTCACATATGCCCCGAACCTGGGCTTTTATAAGTTCTATAGCTTCTGCTATCAGGTGCTTGGATTCCTGACTCCATGTGAAGGAGGA